ATGTTAGATGTAAATGCTAAATGTAAATGCTAAATGTTGAAACTAAATATTTATCTAATATACAAGTTTTCTATGCCTACAACAGTAAGTACCAAAATAAAAGCTCAACTGCATTTATTGAATAAATTATGTTTAAAAGGGAAGTTGTTGTGTGAATCAATACATTATTGTGACAGTATATATGTAGACAAACCTATTTATAAAAACATGTTAAGAGACACATTATCAGATGTGTATTATGAGTTTTAATGTCATTTGGTGCAGTTTTACAAGTCCCTTCCTCCTCACCTGTGCGCTCCACCAGTTGTCTTGTGGTAACCATAGATTAAATAAAAAGGCTAAATAATTRGTCCCCACTGTTGGCCAATGGAGACCTACATCTTCACAAAGCAGCCATCTTGGTACAGGGGGCACGCCCACTCTTAACAAGAATGTGTATGGTGCATTTACTATTAAGATAACCATAACTTGCTCAATTTACATTAGATTTTCAATTGGATTGTTTTGTTGTAAATGTGAGACATGTTGTTATAATTTGGCAAACTTATAATGGACACATAAAAATAAAGTTTTGCAGATATGTAAAGTAATAACAATGTATTCACAGAAGAGATTTAGATTACATTTACATGTATTTACAAATAAAGAAATATAAAGCAAAATTAAACATAAGTTTTTAAAAACCAGTACTAGCAGTGGTAATTACTATGAAAGAACCCATTTATTTCCATTTTTCCCTAGACATGCAAATAATCGCCTATCCTTTTACATAATAAAAGTAGTGCAAGGYAGGCCTGAAGGCAACAAAACATGCATGTTTTAAACTGGTGGAAGAAACCGTGAACCTGCACAAACACAAGGAGAACATGCAAACTTCACAAAGAAAGACCTTAGGGCCAAACCAGGGAACACTTTGAAATATTAGGAAATCAATCAATTAATCAAACTTTATTGATATAGCACTTTTCTGCAGTGACTACTGGACCAAGGTGTTTCCCATTAGTTCAGTAATAAAAATAAAGAACAAAAGGCCAATAATATTGATAGAAAAAATGATAATAACAGTGTGCTAAAAGCAGTTCTAAATAAACGTGTCTTTAGCTTAGCTTTGAACAAAAATAGGTCAATGTAAACATAAAAACTCTGACTAGGAAGGCGTTTAGGTTTTATTTGCAGAATTTTTTTCCAGCCAAATGAAGACTTGCCATACCTCGCTGACAACAGGATATACCATTTTACCATTCTGCTAAGCCACAGGCATACTTTGCATTATAGCTGTGTGAGTATGGTTCTTTATTTGTTTGARCTTTCTGTAATTTCTTCTTCAGAAAAACGTCAACTCTAGACAAACTCCAAATGCTTCTACTGCCCCTAGCATGACTGACACCACATGCTCTTTCTATCCACTATTCACAAAAGAGGCTCCTGAGGTAGATCTTKTARGASACTTAGTCACTTGGCCTGAAACTCCACCTGTAACATCTAATCTTTCCCTGGAGAGTACCAGCGATCCGGCTCATAGCTCCTTCACCATTCTTCCAGGGAAGGCAGCAGGATCATGGCACGTCGGGGATGAACTAGAAATTTTGATAAATATTTGTGACTTTCATGGTCAGCCCAAGAAAACTGGAGGAGATTTCATACTCGCCCGACTGTACAACCCTACACTGTTGGCAGGAGTGACAGGGCAAGTACTGGATCATCGCAATGGATCTTACTCTGCTGTGTTCTCTTTACTCTGGGAAGGAAGTGCAAAAGTTCAGGTAAAGCTGCTCAGGGACTCTATAAAAAGGAGTTGCTAGACTTTACTTGTATTAGAGGTGCAAAATCAAGTGATAAATGTTTACCTCTGGTCCAACAGGTGACTCTCATTCACCCCAGCGAGGCTGTCACCGTGTTGCAAAAACAGACTGAGCAGCCTGACAGAGTTGATTTCTGCAGCCTCTTCCGCTCAGGCTRGGTCACTGAAACTGTTAACTGTAACGTGTGCCTCAAGACAGCCCAGKAAAATCTGTGCAACTACACCAACCACTACACAGGTGACCAGTGGTTTTGCTACAAGCCAAAGAAATTAGGCTGTGATGTCAGGGCTACCCACTTCAAAGGACGAGTCAACGAATATGTCAAGCCCATAGAGAAGGAACTCTTACAAAGGCAAGTGTAAAAGCAACACAATTTGTCCACGTTGGTTGCTTACTAAATAAGTTGGGTATTTATAAATCAGGAAGCGCTGAGGCAAAAAGGTWTACACAATTTTATAACTAAAGTTCTTAAAAATCAAATGTGAAATTACAGCAAATGCAACAAAAGACACTTAACAGTATTAAAATGGAAAACTGAAAATGCTGTCTTCCAAAATGCTAGACTTTTAAATCTTATACAATTATGTCTTTGACTGCCATCATACCTCATATTTATTTTATTTTCTTGTGTCTACTCTAGTAGTGTATGCATGATATTGCACATTTTGCAACATAAATAATTTTCAAAATGTGTCACCATATTTGGCAAGAAATAAAACAGTATGATGGTACAATTAAGAAAACAAGTACAAAAGGTTGGCACAGAGAAAATACAGCAACATCAACAATAGTAATAATAATAATAATAATAATAATAATAATAATAATAATAATAATAATAATAATAATAATAAAAACAAAATGATGTTACAGCTATCTTAAAGGAGACCAATTATGGGTCCTAGAAATTTTCATGGTATGTCTGTGGGCTATCCAGACCATGTTCATTCAATTTAATGCACAAAATAATTCTCAGATAATAAAATTTCCCATTTTCTAGTTCTGCCTGCTCTGACTTCCGTTCAGAATGAGCTGTTTATGTTAATGAGCTCTGCTGGTAACGCCCTCCAAAAATCTGTTGACATTAACTCCGCCCTCCAAAGCCAGCGTTTACATTAGCATGGCTAATAATAGCAGAAGCTCTGTTGTACAACCATATGAGACCCAGAGGCAGAGTCGGTCGCAGCTTCTTCTTTTTTTCTCTCCCTCCTCTGCTCTGCCCTCACTCTACATGCTGTTACCAGAGCAGGGAGCAGCAGCGGTCAAAATACCTCAGAAACTCGAACAAATAGGCTTTAACAAGGCTTTAATAAGCTAAACAATAGAGGTACATAAGAAAACGTGTTCATAACGAATTAAAATAAATAATTAAATTGTGTCCGTGCCGTCTCAAACCCTGGTCTCCCACTCTCATGTCCAACACTCTACCCATTGCCCTATTGGAGGCTTGTTGTAAACTGAGCTTACGCAACAACAACTGTGACAGCATGTTATACTGGAGGTGGAGCTTCACCCGGGGTTTGCTAGCAGAGCCCTATAGAGACAGAGTTGCGACACTCTTTGAACTAGCCGACACACGGTCACGTGGTTCATGGAGCTCCCAATAGTTCCAAACAGAGCAGCGCCGTCAGTCTGTCTGAGCAGACAGAATGCTGAAAACTACTATTTTTTTAACTTTCCCCGCAACTTTCAGGAATTATTGATCCATAATGAACTGATGACAGGTTACTTTACTGACTATACATTTTATCAAAGCATTTTCAGAAGCCGTAGGGACATTTTTTACTGTTTTAATGAGGGAAACGAGACTGCATCTAGAATACATAATGTTACGACCCCAGACCCTGGTGTCTCCCTCTCTTTCTGTGTATATGTGTTTCAGGCTCAGGTGTTTCTGGAGCTGATTGGAGATGGAAGGCAGCTGGCCAGAGTCTCCAGTAGAATTTACTTGAGAGCTGCCTTCACCAGGAGGGAGCCCTCCCCATTCTTTCCCTTTAAGGTTTTTTCTTTTGCTTTAGTTAATAAAAAATTATTTTAAGTTACATTTGCCCGCTTCCCCTTTTATTTGTTATGGTTTTGAGCTAGGCCATAACAAATTGGGGGCTCGTCCAATGGGCGTTCACTTTGATGGTGAGTTTAAAAACAAACATTTGTAATGTTTGTAGATGATTTTTGTTTTACATCTTTTTTATCAGAAAGGATGTCAAAAAAGGTTAGTTTAGGTTCTTTAGGGAAGCTTGCAAGTTTAATTTATTTAGTTTTGTATATTTTGTGTTAGTTCTCTTTAGAAATGCCATGTTAGGTAAGTGTTGACTGCTGTAAGTCTGTCAACAATAACCAACATTTTTAGTTAATTTAAACTAACTCCTATGTAGGCTGTAGCGCGTTTCCTARTTTAGGATTCGTGAGCTGGATAGTGTTGATGTGAGGTCATATGATTGGAGCAGTTGTCTCGGGAGCACAGCCATAGTTCTGATGGGTTGCCAGCTTACTGGTCACCTTATCACACTACTGGTATATAGTGCATAAATAGCTACCATCCCTGGCCTCTGAAGACTAGGGTAGAGTTAGTTAGACTATGTTAGCCAGACAGAGGGGAGTTTAGTTTAATTTGGGGTTGTTGTGCACACTTAAGTGTAACATTTCAGTTCTTTAACTTGTCTTACCTATTTAACATAAATTTAGTCTAACCATGTCAGCAGAGGACTTTATTAAGTCTCCATCGGAAGGAATTTTGGAGCAATGTACCAAAGAACAGCTGGTAAAAATTGCAGATTATTATAAGTTAGATCTGGGGGATAAGCGGTTAAAAGAAAATGTAAAGGCAATTTTGAGAGAAATTTATATGAAATTGGTGTTCTGTCTGAAAATGGTCAAAAAGCTAACTTGCATCCTGTTTCTCAGAGCCCACCAGTTGATTTTCCTTTGAATTTTGAGCAGCAAAAAGCAATGTTGAAGCTACAAATACAACTGGAAATGGAGAGGGAACTAGCACTGAAAGAAAGGGAACTGGCATTAAAACAGGTAGATTTTGAAAAAACTTTAGCCTTGGAAAAAATCAGACAGCAAACTGAAATGGCTAAAATACATTTGGAAAGTGAGAAGTTGAGCCTGATAAAGGAAGGGAAAATGTCGGAAAGTGGTAACGTTGAGTCACATGGTAAACATTTTGACATTTTGAATGATTTACGCTTGGTGCCTAAGTTTGATGAAAAGGATGTGGACGTTTTTTTCACTCTATTTGAGCGGATTGCTGACACAAGAGGTTGGACGGGTCCAGACCGTGCAGTGTTGTTACAATGTGTGTTGGTTGGTCGCGCGCAGGAGGCTTTCTCTATGTTGAGTTCAAGTGATTGTGAAAATTATGCTACGGTTAAAGCTACAATATTGAAGACATATGAGCTGGTGCCAGAAGCGTATAGACAGAAATTCAGGAACTGGAAAATGGGAGAAAAGACTCATGTAGAGTTTGCACGAGACTTGTCTACACATTTCAGC